AGTGACGATGTTACCTCGCTCTGATGATGTCCGTCATATGACGGATAAAAGCTCAGCACGGGTTCACCGGAATCGAAGGAGATTGCCTCGGCGTCAGCATGAATCTTCCAGTAAAGCCAATCGACAGCTGGTCGAGAAAAATTCGCCGTCGTCTTCTGGTGGAACCGACCTTCGAATCTCTTCACCAAACTCTTCTACTCGAAATGGAAGTAAGCCCAACAATGTATGATCCTAATTTGTTTAAGGTGATAGGGGGACTGGTGGTAGAATTTTGCCATAATGATAAGTAGATATGATGTTTCCATTGAATTTTACATAGCCTTTCTTTCACAAAAGTTGTTCTCATACAGGGTGGTTTGCAATTTCTGCCACGCTTGTATCTTGTTAGCACCCCCAGGGGAACTCTAAACATAACAGTCAGTGTATGATCTCGACACATTAACCACTACGTCGCGTTGCCACGAGTGCCCTTGGGTCACAGTGCAGATGTGAATTTCAAGGAAGGCAAGACACTTTTCCATATCACATGCTGTGGTGAAATTATCGAGGAATACATTTCATATATATGATCTATTGATAGTCTCGAAAGCCTACTTATAAACGAAAAATTAGTAACGTAGTCGAATGTCATAGCGAATACAACTTTGCTTCATTGCCAGTCGTACGACAGAATGTGATGTGAAAATGCCCTGCCTTCCTTGAAATTCACATCTGCATTGTGACCCAAGGGCACTCGTGGCAAGGCGGTGTAGTAGTCAATGTGTCGAGGTCATACTCTGCAGTGTCATGGGTAGAGAACAGCTGGTAGTGTTGACAAGACCCAGGGGGGCTTCTTAAGAGCATTACTTTTGTCCTATTATTCGTTAAAATTCGATCGGAAGTCGAGCAGTGTCACTGGATAAAGCATCCTCAAGCCTTATGGAAAACATTACACGAACTCGTCTTCAGTATGGAACTGATGCCTCAAAGATTTGAACCAAAAGCTGGTTAGGTTTGAATATTAGAGTGTGTAAAGGCTCAGATTCCTGATTAAGTAGGCTATATTTGGTAGAAATATAAGCGTTATGTATTCTATGATTTTCTAAAGTTGGCGAAATTATGGAATTTAACGGAGATTCATAAGAATGGTTGATGTAGAGCTGTGAAGATATCATGAGATTGCTCTCAAGGAAGATTTTCAAAATGCAAAGAAATTTACCACCAGAGCCTTAAGTAAATCAAGCTACCTGTGTACTCTTACCTATTAGCATAGCCGGTATTGCATACAGTTTTTTGCTCAGGAAAACGGAGCAAGAAGCCCAATTAATTTGTCGATTAATAAGCCTTACTTAATAAACCATGCAAACTTTGCGAAGCAAACGCTGCTTTTCAGATAGCAGAATTAAGGAGATTACTGATATAGCTCAACAAAACAGCTATTATGTTCTATTTCATGAATGTCGTGTATATTTTATATGTTGTTCTAAAAGAAGGAAAACACAATATATTGATGAGGTTTTTCTACCTTTTATTTTCCTTACTATATTTGCTTTGTGAAGTAGCTATCACAGCCAAAATAATATTGGGTTCTATCGGGACATTGTCTAATAAGAATGTATCAAGTCTTCCTACCTTTCTTTTCCAGTGGCCGATGTCTGCCTTTACCAAATTCGGGAGAATCATAGAACTAATGCATAGGTTCCTCTGTAAACCTGTTGCTTGAGAGAAAGTCAAACAAATTACTTTTGGACTCCACCGTTTTTTCTCTCCTTAGATAGGTACATATTTTATTTTTATTGCAAATAAAGGGAAAATTTGATGTCTGCTGCAAGCTTAATGGCAAAGTATGTCTATATTCTACCTACCATGTGGCCAAATAATGAAGTAATTATATGTAAAAGCGGCAAAAATTTATTTTTTTTACTGAAGACTGCTTTCTAGTCAGTTAGTTCAGATATTTGTCAATAGTTAAATTCAATTAAGAAGCGGAGCCCATTCCCCTAGTGCACTTACATTATATGCGAAAAGGCATACGATTTTAATAGATTGGAAGTGACTGTGAAATTAGAAAAAAACAGACACACAAGGGCATAAGTTAATCGCAATTTGAAATGCATACACAGAGAAGGGTTATCATCTAAGCAAGCTCGGTCGGAGCTAAGACTATAACCAGTCGGTGGGAGAAATTTGCCGACAAGTCATCTTAAAATTGTGGCACATTTAGGGTTATTTCCCGAAGTATGACGCCATTCACAAGAGAGGATAAAGACAATTAGGTGATTGCTCAATCAGGCTCACATTATGCCGAAGATCATCTCTCTTTAGCTAGTTGAAAGGTCGTTTAACGAATCCCTTACAGGAAATATTAAAAAGAAAAGGAAAACTTTTATTTAAGCATCAGAAGATATTAGAAAAAAACTATTTTTACACCAATAGGACCAAGTTGCGAAAACAAAGTCAAACAACCTCTATAAAACGAAAGGAGACTGCGACCACACAAAAGGTCACACCATCTTGGTTTTCATACCTTCGTTTATACTTAAATGTCAACAGGACAAGCAAAACACTCAGAAACTATGTGATGCTGCTGAGCATCAAAAGCTATAAGATTGTCTTAAGAAAGCCAATACTCGGCATATATTAATTCTTGATTAATGGGAGATGGACAAGAGGATTTAATGGATATATAGTGGGTAGCTTACAGGAGACCATTGAGTTGACTTGTCCCAAGATCGACACGTTGACGGATCCTTTCTTGCATTATTACAGTTCTCTCCTCATTCTCCTTGTTCACCGCATCTCGGCCAGTTGGGGTTTGAGGAGATTCGCTTCGTATTCCAGACGTTTGCACCTCAGGCTCTAAAAGATTGACTGATAGTCGACCAGATCCATGCAGACCGATCAAGGATTCATGGTTATCCCCCGCAAAAGTGTCTCTAAATGGAGTGTGACAAGAACTGCGGTTTAAATATGTATGGCAGGCAGGTGGCAAGGTTTGTGCATGCGTGCTCGAAGGCGATATGTTGTTCCCCAAAGTGATACTTATCTGCGAGCTCTCCATTGACCTTGGCTGTCCGATTGGGGATAGGGATGACGACGTTGAATGCCGTGCATCGGTGACGTTGATTTTACGGCAAGCAGCCTCAAATGGATCGAAGTACGGGTCGGGCGGATCCTGGGACCTGGCATCCAAAAACTTGTGTAAAAAGTATAGCAAGATATGTATGTGACATTATTATAGTTTATTGTATATTATTACACTGACAAAATGCTAGATAAGAATTATGCAGCCCAGATACAAGAGGCGCTGTCCTTACGGAGAAAAAATGTAGTGTCTAAATAAGAGTTTAAAATGCAAATTGATTCCTGAATAATGATGGAAGTTAATAGACACCAAAAATTAAGGGGCGAGAAGGTACTGCATTGAAATCGAAATTCAGCAACAAAATTAACTAATAAATTGCGTAAATAACCATTTTTAATATATCAATTAATGAGGTAGCTTGATCCCTTAGCCCGCCAGAGATAGACTTTTTTATAACAAGGTCGGTTCCACCAGAAGACGACGGCGGATTGCTCTTGACCAGCTGTCGATTGGCTTTACTGGAACATTTATGCTGACGCTGTTTCCGAGGGGATCTTCTTCTATTTCGGTGAAAAGGTGCTAAGCTTTCGTCCGTCATATGACGAGCATCATCAGAGCAAGGTATCATCGTGACTTCTTGATTCGTTAGCTTGAATCTCGGTACACTTACCTAGCATCTTCACGAATATATAATGTGCTTTATTTTGTTGTGCGAAAAAGCAATTCTTACCAAAATCCACTGAACTCTAGGCTGTGAATTATGGCCGGCTTCGATCCTATCTATCTACCGAGGAGTCAAGCTAGATAGGACTGATTATAGAAACTCACGGTTGCGAATTTTCCTCTTCCTTTTTTCTCTAACCATAATTGTCTTGTTAAGCTAGATGTTGTAAAAATTGCGAAAAAAATTTGGGTTTCGATGAATCTTGTTTAATAATTGTTGAGCTTACTTCCATTTCGAGGGAAAGTGTTGGGTGAAGAGATTCGAAGGTCAGTTTCACCAGAAGATGACGACGAAATCCTCTTGACCAGCTGTCGATTGGCTTTACTGGAACATTCTTGCTGGCGCTGTTTTCGAGGGGATCTCTTCCGACTCCGGTGAAAAGGTGCTAAGCTTTCGTCCGTCATATGACAAACGAAAACAGTGTCAGCATAAATGTTCCAGTAAAGCCAATCGACAGCTGGTCAAGAGGAGTCCGCTGTCGTCTTCTGGTTGAACCGACATTGGAATCTCTTCACCCAACACTTTCATTTGAAATGGAAGTAAGCTCAACAATTATGAAACAAGATTCATCGAAACCCAAATTTTCTTCGCATTTTTTACAGCATCTAGCTTAACAAGACAATTATG